ATACATATGTGTCTGCGTCACGATATTCATAGCCCAGGTCACAGCAATGGTGGTTCCTACAAGTTTTATAGGAGGCTGGACGGGGAAATGGCGGTGGATCAAATGATAAGGATCTGATATGCGACTGTAGTAGGTGGCATTTGGATGTGAATCTTATCAAATCCGCCACTCCTTTCGCGGCGACAGTTGCTACATTCACAACAAAAAATTACTAGGTGCTCACTAAATGGAAACTTTTGATCCTAAGGGCTACTATCAGCAATGCGGATTGGACTGAATCGCCTGAACTGTTTCAGCAGATATCAGATGCAGCGAATGAAACACCTTTCATTCCCATTCCGATACCAGTACTAGCAACAAGACCAATTCGACCGCTAAACTGAGTGAATTCAGTACAAATGGTGGATGTTTATGGAGCGTTCATAGTTGGCGATCGTACGTACGATCAGGCGATTAGGCGATTAGTCTATATCCTTCTATTATATAAAGCGCTAACTTTGTGTGTCGGTTTGTGTATCTGTATGTGTGTGTGTGTGTGTGTGTGTGTGTGTGTGTATGTATGTGTGTCCGTCCGCAAAATGAAGTGAGTGAGAAGGAAGCTCATGGGATAAACAAACCGCTAACAAATCGGGTAGCTTACAGGATTTGAGATATCAATGTTTTGTAGCAGGATAGTTGTGATAACACTCTTAGGGCTATATAAACACCTGCTTAGCACACTTCCGTTCATTCCACATGGTGCTGCAGTGGCAGCTGGAGGGCAGTGGAGAGAGGAAGGGAGGATGAGGAAGGGAAGCGAAATCTACCGTCATATCATGATTGTGTCCCTTCTACTGTATGAAACACCATTGTGTTGCATACGCGTCACTTCCAGGAGGTGTTGGTGTCACAGGAGGAAGGGACCATAGCGGAGGATAGAAAGCTTGCGCAGGAAAGGAAGGTCCCGGCGGTTGACGGGGGACTAATCTGGTAGGAGGAATATACGTATAGATCAGGCGATTAGGCGAGTAGGCGAGTAGGCGATTAGGCGGTGAAAGCTTTATACGTATTGATTGACTCCGCCCTTAGAGCGTTATAGGCGAGTAGGCGATAAGAGAACTTGCCTAGTCGATTCGTATACTTTCTCATTTGAAGCATCGCCTAATCGCCTAATCGCACTTGACGATTGCCAACATGAACGCTCCATTAGAGAAACTATGATTAGCACCAGTTTAGCTCCACAGGCTATTGTGCGCATCACTCCGTAGGATACAGTGACTGGGGAATCTGTGGGACGTCAGACTACACCTTTCACCGGAGTACCTCACTAATGGATGCGTTGGCTGAGTGACCGAAAGCTCGACAGGCCCCTGCAGTTTCACGAAGCCCACCGTGTAGTGCGCGCGATAGCGTGCGGAGCTAAACGGTCACTGATAAGTAACACTTGGCGATAATTTTCGTTGCGAAGGTCAGGAGTCAGCTATAAGAACACTTTTGCTTGACAAATTATGATAGAACAACCCCCCCCCCCATCCCTTACAAACAATTTCCGTAGACATACAAACAACCAGTCAATTGCTCTCTTAGGGAGAGCCCGTTACTGACACTTCGACTGCACTGCTTACTAACCACACTATTTCCGTCGCGAAACGGTCAACATAAGAAGTTTGGTTGCGCATTTTTGCCATAAACCCTCTACTTCCCTTCCTCCCCCCTCGCACATCCCTCACAGCCCAATCACCTGCCCCAGGCGTGTCAAACAGAATGGCACAGAAGTCAATTAATAGAACAATAAACAAGAGGGAAAAGATGGAGAACTGAGTTGTTATGTATATTAAGTTGGGAGAAAAGTTTTGGTCAAATTTTTGTTCAGGATAATTCCAGAGTCCACAACGGAAAGAATGCATAACAAATGGTAAAAGGGGTCTCGAACCTCCACAAGGGCAGGTGTATAAGCACGCGGCTACATATACCTGTAAGGCAACAATTGGGAACCATTGTTCTTTACAAGTTTCTACCAAAGTCACAGTCCGACATCCATTGTCGCTAACACCTGCGCTGAGTTCAAGGAAGCCATCATTACCTAACTCATAGCACGCAGCTGACAAAATTGGCGCTTTCTCCAGAGGGGAGAGGGGATTCATTCAGGGCGGAGTGGCCTGGCGCCGCGCCATTGAGGACGATCCGATGTAGGTAAGATCGCAGGTTTAGCAAATTTGAATTTACCAAACGCTCGCTACCCAAACCAGGTATTTTGGGAAGACGATTCCACGATAAGGTCCGAGGTCGAAGAGGGAGAGCTCAGGGCCATATTCGCGTTGCTACCCACCCGCCCTCTCGCTGTTTGGTTGTAGCCGATAGCGTTAGCACTGATGAGGGCAGCACCGATGAGACCCTTCTAACGAAAATAAAAGGGGAGAACAGCGGTCTTGTTTTGAGGGTTCTAAGCCGCTTTTCTTGTTTTTTTTTCATACATGCATCGCTGACCACCACTACCCTGATTTTTTGATGGGCTGCCTTTTGATCGTGTGCTCCACCTTTAGCTCCCATATGCAGACTCTGTAAGACCTTTTTGACCATTTATCAATAGTCACCACACCTTTTCCTTTGCCGGAAGTGATCTTACAAGCTAAACAAAAATCTGCAGGACAAAGGAGCCCAACAAAAATTTTCAATACCATAAATTTTTAACTTCAATTTTTTCAATCCAATCTAACTATATCCTTCAATGAGGTTACACTTCATTGAGGCGTTTCAAGATACCACGTATCCAAGTGTCACGTATAGTGAAAAATTCCGATTCTGCGTTCTGCAATATGTACAAGGATCAGCATTACTTACAAAGAACTTATTGTGAGACCCCAAGCCTGAAATTTGTTTGAGAAGTCTAAAACACGGAGTAGAATCTAGCTCTTCTGGGAATATTATAATAGAAAATTTTGAATCGCACTAAAAAACCAGTACGCGTGACAGCTGCTCTTACGATCAGTGCTGTGATTACAGCATTTTTTTAGGATTGACCACCATTGTTTGCTGAGATTATTTATTTGTCAGCAGGTTCGTGGCAGAAAGAGGCACTTTATGAGGCCGATCTCAGACTTTGCGAATTGGGTGATTCGCTACTAGCGATTCGCTAGCGCTCGCGGTAGCGTCGCCTATGGCTCGATTCGCTGCACGCGACGCGACCGCGGACGCTAGCGAATCGCGCGATTCGCAAAGTCTGAGATCGGCCTCATAAAGTGCCTCTTTCTGCCACAAACCTGCTGACAAATAAATAATCTCAGCAAACAATGGTGGTCAATCTAAAAAAAGCTGTAATCACAGCACTGATCGTAAGAGCAGCTGTCACGCGTACTGGTTTTTTAGTGCGATTCAAAATTTTCTATTATAATATTCCCAGAAGAGCTAGATTCTACTCCGTGTTTTAGACTTCTCAAACAAATTTCAGGCTT